GGCCCCTGCACCCCTGTGGGAGACCTGGAAGAAGCTCCTGACTCCTGGCTTCAGATCAGCACAGTTCCAGCCGTTGTGGCTAATTGGGGAGTGAACCAGCAGATGGAAGACCTCTCTCTCTCTGCCTCTGCCTCTGCCTCTGCATCTGCATCTCTGTAACTCTGCCTTTCAAACAATAAATAAATATTTAAAAAATGCATAAGTATATTAAAGTGAGGAATTACATATTTTGAACGATAATTTACAACATGTACTAAATCAGGAAAATCAGGTAAAGCAGCAATAGGAACTCTGCAGGTACAGTGGAGCTTTGTGTCCCCCAAATAGGTCACTTTTTCTTATAGGAAGCACTAGGAATAATCACTTATGCATGAAGTGTTTTATATCTATCCTGCTATCTGCAAAAACCAGAATGAAGGTCAGAATGCTCACTGACTAATCTCTATTTTCTTAAAGTTAAATTCCACTCCACAGCCCAAAAGGAATAGCCATGGAGGTAAAGTACTAGTTTCTTTCTACTAAGCCAGCTCTGCTTAAACAACTCCGGGTAAGGATAAATAGCTAGAAACTCTTGGGGGGAAACTCTTTAAATCTTCTTGGGAAATGTCTCTGAATATGCCACAGTTGCACTAACATGTCCTAAGAATGACATTGGAAATTCCCATGTGAACTTAAATCATTTGGTTAGGGACTACAGTGGAAACAGCAGGGTTTCTTGGTTACTTCAGTACCTGAACAAGCTTTGGATTTTAAAAAAACTTCATAAAATGTCTCTTACAAGCAAAACTACAAAAATCTACTTAAATATTACATGCTGGCTTCTTTCAATTGTTTGCCATTTCCACAGTAATTTTTTTAAATTTTATATTTGTTTGGGATGCAGATACACACACATACTGAGAGAGAGAGAGAGGGAGAGAGGGAGAGAGGGAGGGAAGGAGGGAGAGAGGGAGAGAGGGAGAGAGGGAGAGAGAGAGAGAGAGACAAAATCTCCCATCCACTGGTTCACATCCCATATGTCTACAAAGAATGGGCTAGGTTAGACCAAATCCCAGGAGCTAAGACCTCAATCCAGGACTCCCAGGAGGGTGGCAAGGACCCAGCTACTTGAGCCATCACTGCTGGTTCCTAGAGTGTGTATTAGTGGGGCACTGGAGTCTGGCGTGGAGCCAGGACTAGAACCCAAGCATCCTCATATGGAAGACGAGCTTCTTAACCAGCATTGTAACCCCTATGTCAAAGACCCATCAGTTAATTCTCATCTATTGTAGCCCTGGACAATAGAATGGAGAGTTTCATCTATAATTTACATATTGCCAATTTATCTTGCTTTGAGACATTTTTGTGCCAGGTTTTCTTCCTTTGGCTTTTCTACCTCAGTATTGAATTTGCTATGATTCTCTAAGCTATGATTCCACTCATTCTCTAGATTATACTGTTGACATTTTCTAAGATTAACCTTTGTCCTTGTATCCTAGTGACTCATCATTTTTGCAATGTGTGTCCTGGTCTGTATATTTAGAACCTTTCCTTGTGCCATGAGTTCCAGAAAACTCTGATATCAGGATGCGGCATGCCCCAAATGTTCACGCACTGCAATCTGGGCCCCCAGTGTGAACCTGCTGAAGAGAGAAGCCTAGTGGGAGATGACTGGGTCACGGGACTAACAGACTCAAGGAGTGAGCTAGCTCTCCCTGGAGGGAGGGGGCTGTTACCAAGCAAAGTCACCTTGACACAGTTGGCCCCTCTGCATGCGGTGGTCCCCTTCCCATTCCTCCGCAGTGTTCTGACATTGACAAGGGAGCCCTCACCAAGGCCAAGAGTTGGGGACATCCTATCCCAGATTGATAGCCTCTGAAACACTGAGAACAATACACTTCTTTTCTTTAAAATGTGCCCCATCTCAGGGAGTGGATGTTGTGCCATGGTTAAGACATCTGTGTCCCACATCAGGGTTCCTGTGTTCCATTTCTGACTGCATTTCCTAACTTCTACTTCCTGCTAATGTATCTTGGGAGGCAGTGGTGATGGCAAGCAGTTGGGTTCCTCCCACACACATGAGAGATCTGGACCGAGTTCCTGGCCCCTGGCTTCTTCAAACCAGAGAGTTCAGAGTTCTGCTTCTCTCTCTCTCTTTCTCCCTTTCAAATAACTAAAAAATGTTTAGAAAGTGTCCAGTTTCATATATTCTGTTACAGCAACGGTGAATGGACTAACATACGCTCCTAAGGATCAGACTAGATGAATGAATTAAAGAATCTTCCACAAAACATTCCACACCTCTGTTCTTTGAGGGTACAAATCATTTTCTGCAACATTTTTCTAATTATTTCTAACACATGTCCTGTTCAACACACTATTAAGGCGGTTGAGCAAGAGAAACATCTCATTCTTTGGCATTAGGTAAGCACACCCTTGGTCATACCCAGATATTCTGCGGGTCTAGCGTGAAGGTCCTTGGGCTTTTAGCTCACTGAGAGAGGCTCCTTCATATGAAACCCTGAGAGTGGTTCTGATACCCAGGCTCTGTACATGTGCTTTTTCTGTCCTACTGGGATAGCAGGCTCTAGTTTGACCCGCTGTCCTCTCTGGGTCAGCCCTTCCTCCACATCCATAAACCACAGTTGATGGCTCTATGCAGGATGTGCCTGTGGATTTCCTACTGCCTTTGTATACTCAACACAGTGATTTAGCTGGATCCTCCTTGAGATCTGATTCTACCCAAATGCAAAGGAAGCCTCCACTGAGATGGTATGGGATGGGAATAGTTGTCAGAGTTGAAAAAGCAGTGTAAACGGTGTGTCCTTCTGAAAGCAAGCTGACTGTGCTGAGCTGCCCTAGAAAGAATGCACAGGGTGTTCTTGTTTCTTTGTAAAGGTCCCTGTGTGTGCAATCAATTCACTCTAAGAATGCCATGTGCAAGTGGTTACAATCTCCCTCAACAAGAGGAAAATTTACACATCAAACCTAAGTCGCATTGGAGAACTTGATGCCTCTGGAATCAGTTATAAAATGCCTTTACTACTATGGCAGTTTTCCAATTACAATTTAATATTGGCGAGTGAATGGCTGATCACTGTAAATGACTAATGGAGAATATGAAGTATGTTTTGTTACTGAAGTGAGGCATCTTGGCTTTCTTAAAACAGTAGTCTTAGCGGCTATTCTAAAAATTGTGATGCTATCAGCATATTATTTTCTACCTAATGACATCCACATGGAGTTAATGGGCTTCTTAAGAGATGATATTTTATTCAGTTCAGGGATCTGCTTTCATAGTGGAATATAGGCTAACAGAATAATGTTGGTGGCGAAGGAGATTTTCACGTGAGTCAGGAATAGCATTTTAATGATATGAGCTAATTGAGAGGGTATTAAAAATAAAATTATTTAAGTACACTTTATGGGGCTGGTGTTGTGGTACAGCTGGTAAAGCCACAGGCTACAATGCCAGCATCCCCTATGGGCCCCAGTTTGTGTCCTATCTACTCCACTTCCGATACAGCTGCCTGCTGATGGCTTGGGAAAAGCAGAGGAAGATGATCCAAGTACTTGGGCCCCTGCCACCCATGTGGGAGACCTGGATACAGCTCCTGGTTCCTGACTTCAGCCTGGCCCAGCCCAGGCTGCTGTGGTCATTCAGGGAATGCACCAGCAGATGAAATACCTCTCTCTCTCTGTGCCTGACTCTCCTTTCCACTCTGTAACTCTGCCTTTCAAATCAATTTTTTTAAAAAAGTCCACCTGACTTGACCTTCTCAATTTTTTTTTTATCTATAAGAAGAATCAGTGCTTACAGACCTGAGCACAAAGGGACGCATTCACAAAAGGTAAATGCTTGTCATTATGATCACCTTTACAACTGCAGTGGCTAACATAACACAAGATCACCAAAGCTAACAAATTGGTTTATCATCCTGGATCATTTGAGTGTCTAACTGGAGCAGGCAGAGCTCTTTACAGGTGTGTGTGTGGGGGGGGGGGGGTATCCTTCCTCATCCTTTCTCTCCACAGTAAACTCTGCCTAGATTAAGACCATAACAGCCTCTGACTTGAGTTATGCTGCAGTTTAAAGAGAATTAAATAATCTGTGTTGGCCAAATAAAAACCCACTTATGGGAAAATGATTAAGCCTAGAATTGTGCTTGTTGAGTAGTAATAGAAAGTAAGTGATGAAAATTTTCGCCAATAGCTTTAACAAAAGGAGGCCAGTGTTGTGGTGCACCAGCTGCAATGCCATGATTCCCTATTAAGCACCAGGTCGAGTCCAGGCTGCTCCACTTCCAACACAGCTCTCTGATACTGTGCCTGGGAAAGCAGCAGAAGGTGGCCCATGTACTTGGGCCCCTGTCACCCACGTGGGAGACCTGGATGGAGTCCCAGACTCCTGGCTTCCACCTGGCCCACACCTGGCCCTTGCAACCATTTGGGGAGTGAACTAGGGGATGGGAAATTCTCTCTCTCTCTCTCTCTCTCTCTCTCCCTCACTCCCTCATTGTGACTCTGCCTTTCAAATAATGTTAAATATTTTTTTAAAAAAAAATAAGGGCTATAACATAATAAACAGTGCAACCCCATCTGAGAATGGCACTCTTAGTAGGTATTGCCATTTTCTTGTGCATCGTACACATGGACAGCATTATTTCTCATGAATAACTCTGGGTTCTTTTCCACTATGATCAAATGTCATCCTTTGGAACTGCCAAAACAGTAAATCATCACAGGTGCAAAGGCCACAATCACTGTTATGGACCTCTGGCATAAACAAGGCCTTGTAAGAAGGGACCAACTACATTACCCTGCGGGTCCCAGTGCCAAACGAGAATGAGACGCCAGTTGTGTAACAGTAAGTGAGAAATTAAAATGAACAAAAATATGCCTTCGGAATTTCAAGTCAGTGCCACCAGAGCACTAAACCCAGCGGGGCACCCTTCAAGTAAGCCGGCCGCCGGCTGGTCCCCACACCGCGCCACGAGGCTGCGTGGATTCCTCCAACTCACCACTGTGACCGCGTCGTTCAGCAGGGACTCGCCGAAGACCAGGATGTAGAGCTGCTCATTGACGTGAATGTTCTCGAAGACAGCGAGCACGGCCACCGGGTCCACGGCTGAGATCAGGCTGCCGAAGAGCAGGTTCTGCAGCAGGGTGATGTCACTGAGGCCAAACGCCTCGATCTGGCAGATGCCAAACAAGGACACGCCGATGCCGATGGAGTTCCACAGGGTCCCCACCACCGCGTACCAGAAGATGGTGCCGAGGTTCTCGAAGAAGGGGCGCGTGGGCATGAAGTAGCCGGCGTCGAGCACGATGGGAGGCAGGAGGTACAAGAAAAACACGTCGGTCTTCATCGCCGGGGGAGACTTTTCATCGACGCCAAAGATAATTCCGCCGAGCAGAAGTCCGACCATGATGAGCAGGCAGCTCTCGGGAACGATGGTGGGCAGCTTGTGGTAGAGATGGAAGCCTGTTAGGGCGCAGGCAAAGGCACGAAATGTGGGTGATGCAGGGATGAGGGAGGGAGAAGAGAGACTGCTTCCCGGGGAAGTGATGGGGCCTATTTCGGAATCTCCCAGGCCAGTATAATTGGCTATGGACTGGCTTTCTAGATAACCGTCAGATGATTCTTTTAGGATTATTCACAAAGTAGATTTAGGCAGAAATTTAAACCAGAACTGGAATGCTACAGGTATGCGTTATCCATATCATACAATTTTCCTTTTTCTAAACTCCTATTAAGTTTTTTTAACTATTGGAGCTCTGGAAATGCAATAAGGTAATGCTATTATATATATATATATATATATATATATATATTGACAGGCAGAGTAGACAGTGAGAGAGAGAGACAGAGAGAAAGGTCTTCCTTTGCTGTTGGTTCACCCTCTAATGGCTGCCGTGGCCGGCGTGCTGCGGCTGGTGCACCGCGCTGATCCGATGGCAGGAGCCAGGTGATTCTCCTGGTCTCCCATGGGGTGCAGGGCCCAAGGACTTGGGCCATCCTCCACTGCCTTACCGGGCCACAGCAGAGAGCTGGCCTGGAAGAGGGGCAACCGGGACAGAATCCGGCGCCCTGACCGGGACTAAAACCCAGTGTGCCGGTGCCGCAAGGTGGAGGATTAGCCTAGTGAGCCACAGCGCCGGCCTATTTTATATTTTTTAACAACTTAGTGATTGCCAAAACACTTTCAGATTTACAACTCATTTTACTTCCTAAAAACACCAAGGAGAAGAAATGTAGTAATTTTCATATTTTAAAAATTTAAGTGGAAGTTGAGGCTCAAAGACATACATACAAGGTCTTATCCAGAAGCTTCGGTCACAAGTCAGTTTCAGATTACTCCTGCTGTACAAAACCAGCCATAGACAACAAGGAAAAGAACTACTGTGGCTGTGTTCCAGTGGAACACATGGACAGAGAAACTAGAATGTCTTGGAATTTTATATGTCATGAAATATCCTAGTGATTTGGTTTTAACCATTTGAAAGTGTAAAACCTGTCTTACGTTATGGGTCATCCAAAGTCAAGCTATAGGTTGCAGTGTGCCTGTACCTAGTTTGGTCTATTCTTTGTGCAATGGTACTTCAGAAAGCTCATGGAAATTGCATAGACAAAATATGGATCTGCCTATATGACCCCAGCCTCAGCTATATAGTCTCAATGATTGTCAAGGAAGCACATTCCATTCTTACCGTCAAATTGCCCTTATGCACCAAAATAAACCTATCATTTAATCCCATTTTTCTAAAGCTTTAATGTGCTCTCATATTTCCTTTTCTTTTAAAGATTTATTTATTTATTTAAAAGTCAGAGTTACAGGGGTGGGGGAGAGGAGAAGGAGAGAGAGAAAGGGAATATCTTCCATCCACTTGCTGGATGACAGAGATATCTTCCATTCCCAGATGGCCACAATGGCCAGGACTCAGCCAGGCCGAAGCCAGGAGCCAGGAGCCAGGAGCCAGGAGCTTGATCTGGGCCTCCCATGTGGGTGGCAGGGTCCCAGGTATTTGGGCCACCTTCTGCTGCTTTTCCCCAGGCCATTAGCAGGAAGCTGGATTGAAAGTGAAACAGCTGGGACACAAACCAGCATCCAAATGGGATGCCATTTTACCTACTACATCACAACACCAGCCCTGTGCCCTCATAATTTTTGTAAACTCCTGCTAATGGTGTTTGGAGCATTATACCCGTGTTATTAAATTTTTATTAATAGTATATAAAGTTTTGTGACAGCAGATGCTTAAAAATAAATTTATTATTTTATTCTAATTGCCGTCAAAATGCACTTACTAAGAAAGAGAACAGGGTTGGAGGATTTATATAAAAGAGAGTGAAGACATTCTTCTGTTAAACTGGAACCTATTTTAACTTCTCTCTGTATAGAAGTGCTTAAGATGAAAAACTAAACATCTATGTATAACCAAGTGCAGTACAATTAATTCACTACATTTTCTCATTATATCTAATATAACCTATTTGTCAAACTGTGGGAAGGCAGCAAAGTGAGAAACAACACAGGAAGCTTCCAGATAGCAGAATCCACAAAGGAGCAACATTGTAAAAATCTGAATCAGAGAAAACCACCAACAAATACATCCAGCATGAGATTATAAAACAACAACAAAAATCCAAAAGCAACCATTCAGTTCCCACTAGGATACTCAGAAGGGAAGGGGAAAATTGGAAGAGGGGAGTAGAGACAAAGCCCTCAGGAGAGAAGGCACATTTTCTAGGCAAAGACAAATACACACAGTAGAACAAATGATCTATTCAAGGGGTCTTCAAAAATATTAATAGAAAAGTTGTGTTATAAATATACCAAGCTTAAATTTCAAAACATTTCGCACCAAAAAATTTCTTTTAACTCTACTTTCCACAAACTTAAAGAAAAAAATAATGACATCTCTTGGATAAACAGATATTTTTGCCAAGTCTGTTTAAAGTATGGAACAGGTACCCATGGGCACCAAGAGTGCACCAAGCTGCAAAGACCCAGCACTAAGTTCTAGGACTGGTTATGTTAAAGCACACCCTGGAAAACACTGAGTTTATACTCAAGAATGGTCTAAAGTAAGTCACACCTTTCTGATTAAGAGAAAAAAAAAAAGGAGTAATATTTCTGAAATGTATTAAACTTGTTTTAGATATTAAAATAAATAAATTCATTGAAACCTAGACATTTTGATTCTATGTGTCTCAATTCACATAGCAGCCAAATATAAATCTTACAAAATGGGACTGCAGTAAGCAATAGATAGTCTGATGAAAGTGTTGAATCAGATGGATGTGGTGAACCATCACTGAAAATAATGAAGAAGTTGGGTGGGCGCTTAGCACAGCGGTCAAGATGCTGTTTGGGATGCCCACATCCCATCTTGGAGTGCTGGTCTGAGTCTGGTTCAGCTTCCAATCCAGCTTCTTGCAAGGCCGCAGAAGATGGCTCAAGTACATGGGCCCCTGCGACCTCTGTGGGAGTCCCTGGCTCCTGACTTCTGACTTTGGATTGGCCCAGCTTTGGCTTTTGTGGGCATCTGGGGAGTGAATCAGTGAGTGGACATCTGGGGAATGAATTAGTGAGTGGAAGGTATCTCTCCCCTTCTCTCTCTTTCAAATAAAATGAAAATAAATAAATAAATAATGTAAAAAACCATGTAAGTTGTCTGAATACATGTGACTAAACACTTTAAGAACAGCCTGAACTGCAGAAGAATCTGTACATAACCCTATAAAGAACAGTGTGTAAAGAAAGTCAGTTAGCACACAGGGGGTTAATGTCAGAATGCAACTACTTAGCAATGAAAGCAGACACCAATGTAGAGCAAAACGAGAAACGGCATCCTTGGCAGATGGCACGCTTATAGGATGAGAAAACTCAAGAAAAGCATCACACACCAAGAATATTTATTGTGGTCTTACATAGGATATGGGGAAACTGAAGGCAATAAAAATGGCCGACATCATCAATCATTTTTTTCAAGCAGCGTTCATTCATTGGGAGCCTGCAATGTGCTAGGAACCACATCAGGCACTGGGGATACAGCTATCAATTAAACAAAGCCTCTGCACTGGAGACCTGCAGTTTAGTGGTGGGAAACAGCAATTAAATCAACCAATAAATGCACAGTGGCAAGTGGTGGTGAGTCGTCAGTGAAAAGCAGAGAAGGGTGGGAGAATCCTGTGATTGATATTTTGCATCCATGTGGACAGGAAAGCCTCTTTGATGGGTGAAATTTGAACAAACCCTGGATGAAGTGAAAGAGTGATGCATGGTTAAAGAACTCTCGTGAAGAGGGAAGAAGAGATCAAGAGTGGAGGTCCTTGTGGATGGGAGCCCCGGGGCATTTGGTGGAGTCCCTAAACTCAGGTGCTATAAGCTCACCAGCTCTGCCCAGAGATGCAAATCACCTACCTAGGATAACCTGTTGGATGACAGAAAACTCTCCCTGAGCAAATATTGCAGTTCCAAGTAATGCTTCTTGGATTGTAGTCCATGTTGCAATGGATAGCCTCTGGCTGTCCTGCTCACTGTCCTCTTGCAAGCATATGGCAACAGTCACCCTAACTAAGAAGGGACTGGCCTTACAAACATACCTCTCAGATTACAGTCCATGTTGTAGCAGTAGTCAGTCCCTAACTCTGCTGCTTGCCCCGTGCTTTCCTGCAGTGTGCTCAACAAATCTAGCTGTGCTCACTCTATCTGCTCTGGTGAATTTTTTGCCATCTGTGAGATTGGCCTCAATAGGTTGCTTCCTATGACATTGTGGTGAGCCATATGGAGACTTCCTCTGTGGTCACAGGGGGCACCCTACAACGTAAGGCACCATGGGTAGTGGCAGCTCATCTGTGAGCCACACATATCTTTGGCTGCTTGATCAGTCTTAACCTTCCTTACCTGTCTCTGTTCTGCAAAGAACAACTTGCTAGTGCAGTGGCAACTTAAAAGACTCTGTTCTGAAATGCTTAGTACCTGTTGCCCTAAAGGGTAAGGACTTCACTTTCCTGTGTTCTATTTCTGGTCCTGGAAGAATGGCTTACACCTGTGTGACAACAACTGATGATTCCTGGCGGGGGCGACTCCCAGGTGGAATCAGAAGGTCTTGTTCTTGGATATTTAGCATCCTTTGCCTTTCGTGGAGAGGATCCCCTCCATTCTGTCTCACTGGGCTCCCTCTGTCCTCCACAAAGGTTGAAAGGCTTCTGCTTCCCTTCCTTGTATGGCTAGCCACCCCATCCAGAACCATCCTGGGCTAGAGACTTGGCATTTAAAGGATGAGTAGAATTCTTTGCCCCTTTCTTCCAGACCTGGATCTGCTACCCAGCATAAGAAGAATTGAGCCTTCTTTAAACCAAAGAAGTACTGGTAGTTCTCGCTCAGTGAGCAGACAACGCTCATTGAAATAGGTAACTGCTCCCCAGGCCTCTTGGTTGGGCTGTGGCAAAGAATGGGACAATCACCTGAATTGGCA